ACAACTTTTATAAGAGGGAAGGTGTTATGAGATCGTAAGTATTATGCTTATTAATCTTGGCCTTATAAGTTGTTTACAAAAAATGTTATAGTTGAGCAGTTTAGAAATCACTGGAACAATCATAGATACTGATGGAATGATTAAAACTTTCTATTTGACTTTTATAACGATTCCAGAATGATTATAATGGACGATGTGTAATTTAAACTTCTACAATTTCCTAGAAATTTCCCTTCTACAGTGTACTAGAAGTTTCCCTTCTACGGTGATCTAGAAGTTTCCGTGACAACTATATATATATATATATATATATAAGTCTAGAGATTTGCACAACGATACTAATATAAGATGGTATTATACGAAGATGTCGTTAATAAATCGTGTTGACAAATATTTCGGCTTAACAAATAGCCTTCTTCGGTGTCAATTATTTTAACAATACTGATAATATGTATAAAAATAGCTCAATAATACAGGTAAGTTTTGGTCTATTGATTTAATCCAAAATCCTGAACATCATAATATAAAACAAAACTCAATTCTCAAATATACGTGACTGTGTATATTTACAACCCAAAATGAGTGAAAAATAAAACTTAGTATTTTTTATAGATGCTGTTTGGATGATGTACATTTTTTTCTGGAGAATGTCGTTCGTGTGATGAAAAACGCTGCAAATGCTGCCTACAGATGCATCACTCATCAACTTTTCACAGTAAGGCAACCGAAAATAACTATAAGATATTTTGCAATGTTAACTGCAAAAGTATGAATGTTATTTACATTCTAGAATGTTCGGTTTGTGGCCTCCAATATGTTGGTGAGTCAAAGCAGCCTTTCCGCAAACGCCTCAATGGCCACAGGAGTGATATCTCTAAGAAGCCACTTCTCCCAGTTTCTCAGCATTTCAGACAGTCTGGTCACACACTTGATGACTTTAACCGCATGAAGATCCTAGTGATTGAACAGAACATTCACTCGAGTGATGCCCAGCGACAGGTTCGGGAAAGCTTTTGGATAAAGGAACTAAATGTACATCATCCAAACGGCATCAATAAAAAATACTAAGTTTTATTTTTCACTCATTTTGGGTTGTAAATATACACAGTCACGTATATTTGAGTATTGAGTTTTGTTTTATATTATGATGTTCAGGATTTTGGATTAAATCAATAGACCAAAACTTACCTGTATTATTGAGCTATTTTTATACATATTATCAGTATTGTTAAAATAATTGACACCGAAGAAGGCTATTTGTTAAGCCGAAATATTTGTCAACACGATTTATTAACAACATCTTCGTATAATACCATCTTATATTAGTATCGTTGTGCAAATCTCTAGACTTATATAATTTTTTTCCTTATCTGCACAGTATCGTCTATTCTAGACGATCCGGTACATAGTAAATTTGCTGGTTGGTCCTTTTTATAGACTTCTATATTATTTTCCTCTGAATGACCTGTATTATGTTATTCACATAATCCCAGTGAATTTAAGTTTTCAGCTCTTATATCATGAACATCAATGATTATTTTAAACAACTTAGAGCTATTAAACAAAAACAAATTAGAACTGAACACCACTTATCTAATTTAACCCATTATGTGTATAATGAAAGTATTCCTAACGGACTACAAATCAAGCTCATGCCACAAACACCTGACAATTTATCCAACACATTACTTCGCAAATGGGATCAAACCCTCTACCATTGTTCCAAGCGGTTAATGGTCCTCCTCAAACAACACTGCGAAGAATATCTGAAAACTTTTACTAGCGAATTTAACACCCTTTCAAATAGCTGCAAAAAAGATCTCACATCTGACAATTGTGATGCTATCAGTGCTCGCCTTAAAGACATAACAACCATACAATCTCAAAATTTGAGTTAAAGGCAGAAAAGAAAATTCCGTAGGGATGGCATCGAACATATCAATCCTTCTTTACCATCTGAAAAAAAGAGAAAACGAGTAAGGCGCTTTAAACGTAGGTCACTAGAGACTGATTCGCCCTCCAGCATTGTGGTCAATCTTTCCAAACACCAGTTAACGGAAGCTGAAACATCTCTTCTCTCGAGAGGCTTAAATTTCTGTCCTTTACCTGCCCCTGTCAATGAAACTAAATTGTCGGAAGACCTTGACAATTTTGCCAGAAGTCTACGCATTAAGGAATATTTCGCGTCGAAGGAGAACAACAACAGATGCTCGGATAGCGACTCAGAAATTTCAGAAGACGAAAACAACTACAAATTTATAAAAAAGAGTACTTGGATCCCTAAACCGAGCAAAAATGCCACCTTGGAATCATTTATTGACAATTTTAAGTCGGACATTATTAGAAATACTAGAAATAACAATAAACCTTTTGACAATCTTACCAATGAAGAACGAACTGCACTGAGAAACTTACGATCTAACGACAATATCGTCATTAAACCTGCAGACAAAGGCAGTGCAGTGGTTGTCATGGATAAATCTGCCTATATTCAAGAGGCTGAACGACAACTTGGCGATGCAAGGTTCTACCAAAAACTAGACTCTGATCCTACAACATCTTTTAGCAGAGAAAAAACTGATAGTTTGGTAGAAATGCACAACGATGGTTTCATCGATGAAAAGACTCTAGAATATTTGAAACCAGAAAATCCAAAACCGGGCAGATTTTATCTTTTACCTAAAATTCATAAGGCCAATAACCCAGGAAGACCTATAGTTTCAGCGAACGGTCATCCGACGGAAAAAATATCGGAATTCGTTGACTTCCATCTTCGTCAACATGTTGAGGACTTACCATCTCACATCAAAGATACTACCGATTATCTTAGAAAATTGCAGGCCTTAAATCCACTCCCCTCCGACACGACACTTGTCTCTATGGACGTCACCTCCCTTTACACGAATATTCCACATGCAGATGGCATTGATGCATGTAAAGAAGTTTGGAATTCCCGACCAGTGAAATATCCACCTACTGAATGCCTGGTCAAAATGCTCACGCTGGTACTCAAAAACAACAACTTCACTTTTGATGGAGACCATTATCTGCAAGTTAATGGAACTGCTATGGGCACCAAAATGGCTCCATCATATGCCAACATATTTATGGGCAAATTAGAAAAACAACTCCTTGAACAAAACCGCTTTCCTGGTTTAGATTTATAGATGATGTGGATATGAATGGAATAAAAGTGACGAGGATTTAGATACATTCATCACTCATGCCAACAACATACATCCAAGTATCAAATTTACTCATGAGAAATCTAAATCCAAAATCACCTTCCTCGATACCTCCAGCTCGCTCACAGATGGCATCATATCCACTGATCTATATTCTAAGCCTACTGACACTCACCAATATCTGTCCCCTAAAAGTTGCCATCCTGCTCATTGTACTAAGAGCATCCCGTACAGTCAGGCACTCAGAGTCAAGCGAATATGTTCCAACTCAGAAACAACTAAAAAACAACTACGTCAACTCGAAACCCGCTTGAAGAGAAGGGGCTACAAACACAAAACTATCCAAAAAGGCTTTCAGAAAGCGGAAACTATTCCAAGGAGTAAACTGTTAGAATACAAATATAAAAAGAAAAATAAAAGGACTCCATTTGTTCTTACTTACCACCCATCTCTCAAAAACAGCTTCGGTGTCATTCGTGAGCATTGGAAAACAGTTGAAAAGAATTCCAAACTATCCAAGATTTTTCCCGAGCCTCCCATGATAGCTTTTAGGCAACCCAATAGTCTGCGTAACCTGCTGGTGCGGGCTGAAGTGTCTGATAATAGAAGTACTTCTGGAGAATGTCGTTCGTGTGATGAAAAACGCTGCAAATGCTGCCTATAGATGCATCACTCATCAACTTTTCACAGTAAGGCAACCGAAAATAACTATAAGATATTTTGCAATGTTAACTGCAAAAGTATGAATGTTATTTACATTCTAGAATGTTCGGTTTGTGGCCTCCAATATGTTGGTGAGTCAAAGCAGCCTTTCCACAAACGCCTCAATGGCCATAGAAGTGATATCTCTAAGAAGCCACTTCTCCCAGTTTCTCAGCATTTCAGACAGTCTGGTCACACACTTGATGACTTTAACCGCATGAAGATCCTAGTGATTGAACAGAACATTCACTGGAGTGATGCCCAGCGACAGGTTCGGGAAAGCTTTTGGATAAAGGAACTAAATGTACATCATCCAAACGGCATCAATAAAAAAAATACTAAGTTTTATTTTTCACTCATTTTGGGTTGTAAATATACACAATCACGTATATTTGAGTATTGAGTTTTGTTTTATATTATGATGTTCAGGATTTTGGATTAAATCAATAGACCAAAACTTACCTGTATTATTGAGCTATTTTTATACATATTATCAGTATTGTTAAAATAATTGACACCGAAGAAGGCTATTTGTTAAGCCGAAATATTTGTCAACACGATTTATTAACAACATCTTCGTATAATACCATCTTATATTAGTATCGTTGTGCAAATCTCTAGACTTATATAATTTTTTTCCTTATCTGCACAATATCGTCTATTCTAGACGACCCGGTACATAGTAAATTTGCTGGTTGATCCTTTTTATAGACTTCTATATATATATATATATATATATATATATATATACAGACACCGAAATTAGACAGATCAGACATTAATATACTTGTATTCTCAGAAGTTCTCTGGGGTTGTTGGATTGATATTTTTATTTACGAACAACATCATACTAGATTGTGAACCCATTGGACATATATATTCCATTGGATTCCGTACAGTTAAGAGAAGAATTCCGGATAAAGAAAAAACAAAGGATCGGACATATATTTTAACAGTTAAGTTGACATTTCAATTTGTATAATATTTCTTGTTAACTTGTGTATAATAAATCTTGTAAAATTTTATCATTGATTTGTGTCTTTTGTTGGCTACTATTTAAAGGTGCTTTCTGGCCGTAACAGAAATTTTATATAAATCATCAAATAAACTTACTGCAATCACTGTCTTTGCCACCAACCGCCATTATAAACTGAAAATATGATAAGAAAAAAAATGATTTACATATAAAAGTTTTGGCTCAACTGAAAACTTGATATTTGTCTGATTCATGTCATCCATTGTTGATCTTTAACAGCTATTTTGAAATGAACAGATCTTACAATATTATAAAGTAACAAATGCGTTATATGTTTAGTGATGTTCAGTCGTTTTGTCAATAATAAAACGTATACACTGCGGAAAGTTAAGTACTGTTATGACAATTCGCTTGCAGTCAAATAAGATCCATTCAGCCTATGTTCATTCAGGTCAATAGGAACTGTATTGTCTGAAACTTAACTGAGTAGTACTGATTGACTACTAGCTCATTGTCAGAGCAGTTACAAAAAAGAAAATGGCCGAAAGTTTCAATTGTTAATATAACTTTAAGTTTTCAGGTTTAGGTTTCACACATGAAGTTTAGATCAAAATGAGGATTGAAGACTTAAATAAATGTACAAGTGTGTTGTATCATTTATTTACAGACCATTGCACTTAATTTAAAGATGATAGGATAAATGAGAAGAAAAAGATTTGATTCAATTTTTATCGAGATCATTTTAGTCAGAAGTATTTGGAAAATCCTTCAATTCTTTGAACTTTAACAAATCTTTAATCAAAAAGTACCTTAACTTAAAGATGTTGACAAAATTATCGATTTTTTTTTGTGATACAAATTGTTTGTCTGGTTTGACGTAAACGGGAACGCTAAAACCGAAAATTTGAAAACTGTTAAGGTGCTTTAAGACCAAATGGACCCAAACAGAATAGCAAAAACAATATACTTTAATTTTAACTTTGCCTGTTCAATTAGTATTGTCAATTTTCATGTTACAATGTTTTTAAAAAGTCGAGTATGTACATGTATGATGACATAAGAAAAAAGGAACAGTAGTTATTTGAATTAACAGACAAAACCATAATCAAACGAAAAGGTCCACAAAACACTAACTAGAAACTTATTTTGAACAACACTCTATCCATCATAAAGCGGGAAAGCGCTCCAATCCCCTAGAATTGTAAACGGTTTACTCCACTAGTGGCCTAATTGTGTACTCATGTCAAGAATGTCAGATGACAGTTCGATGGCATTGATGTTATAATGAGGGAAAGAGGACTTGACGTCAAAATACTTTTCATAGTACATGTAGTTAGGGTGATTTTAACTTTACCTGTAATGTTTGAAACCCTTGAACGCAATAACTCTCTATCAAGGAAATATCGACACAAAACGTAAGCCTCTGGCTTACATACTTTTTTCGTGTTTACTGTATCGCTCTTGTGTTCTAAATATATTTTTGTGACAAACATTTATATCTATAGGTTTATCTATTTTCAAAGATTCAAAGTGACAACATCAATGACATATTTAATTTCTTTCTGAATAGACCAATCTTTGTATCTTTAACTGAATATTATGAAATTTACAATTTGTTTTTAATCTCAAAATTCAAATAGTTGTTTCTTCTCAATTTTTTAAAATGAGAAATAAAATCCCAATTTTTGCTAATCCTCATATAGACCAGCTGTTAAAGTGCGGTTCCCTCTTTTTTCAAAATCCAAATCTCATGGTCAGTCAAATATTGTGTCAGCTTGAAATATTAAAGCGTTTGCTAATATTTTAAAGGCCTGCTAATTCGACTACTAGTACTCCTAATTGTTTCGAGCTTAGATAGCTTTATATTTTGATAGTTTCAATTGCAATTATGGTGATGTAAAATCATATAAGATTCTTATCATTTGCAAATGTCGTCGGAAAATGCAAACTGTAAAACATTTTTTTGTATGTGTGTGCAGCTGCGACAACCAGTATCGCACCCTTTATTATATTACACGTGATCATTCCTTTTTTTTTGAAAACCATACCTTCCTTGATCAGTTAAAAAGTGTTTTTCTGTTTGATAAACACCTCACGAAAAACGAAGCTTGACATCACAATTAGATGCTATTGAATAATGGCAACCTTTTCATATCCTTTTTATATATTCTGCAGCCTGTAAAAGTTAGTTTTAAAACTAAAGTTCCCACTTCCTTAGTCAAAGCTTATTTGAGATAATGTTGGCTAAATATTTGTAGATCCCGTTTGGTCATACATGTTTAGCTGATCACGTATTTAGTTATCCCATGAGGACGCGGTGTATCAGTAATAGTTGTACACCGAGGGATAGGTGTGTCTGGATAAGAAACCCCGACGGCCGGAGGCCAGACACGTCGTATCCCGAGGTGTATAACTAACTTACACCCAATGCTAAACCCTTGACAAAATCGAACCATGATTTATAAGATTTGTTATTTTACATGAAACCCTACTAGTAACCTTACTTTGGATATGTTATTTCAAACTTTGACAAGTGAGTAGATTTTACAAATATCAAAGTTGCTGTTTTGCATATTCCCGTTAAATCCTGGTGCTAATATGGATCAGAAGTTCAAGGTTGACCGTTTCGTGCATTCTTATCACAAAAAAAAATATACATCATGCTCCTTGTATGCAGTTGTCAATATGGACGGGTATAAGACGGACGACATTTTGAGTGAGAGTCAAACGTTGGATTTGGTAGAAGAGACTAAAGATAAAGGCAATATTATAACCCAAAGTACTTACCTGTATCAGTTTAATGAAGGTAATCATAAATGTATTTTTTATGTTACGGTTTTATAAAGAAAAAGACTCCCCTTTCTCGAGAATAAACAAACATTCATATTCAGACACACTGAAGGATAGGTGTATCTGGATCAGAAACCCGACGACCGGCATCCAGGGGGGTCCGGGAGTTAGAATCCCTGTTTTTTTTTTAAATCAGTGCTTTAGAATAGAGACATATGACTAGGTTCGAAAATTTTACCTTCAAGCAAAGGAGTTTTTAGGAAGCAACCATTTTAACTTCAAAGGGGTTGGGAGGTATGGTTTTTTGTCGGAGTCAGAAATTTTTTTTCTCGCAAATCGCGAACAATTTTATTTAGTTTTTCAACGATATCAATCAAATTATGTTTCCCTTAAAGGATTTTTTTTTATTCAAAATAAATGCTTAATATTTTTTTTTTTCGCTATTGGAATTTCCTAATATTTTTAAATTTTGAAACAACTTGTAGCGAACACTATTAGTAATTTCTTATGTTCATGCTATTTAGAAAATAATCAATTTCTCTTGTAATGAATAACAATGGACTTTGTTTTCGGGATGTAGAAGCAGGGGTTTCCAGAAACCCCGCTCGTCACACCCTGTGGTCAAAATCCATCGTTATTCGTAACAATAGATCTTTCAATTAACACTTGTTTCAGAAATAGAAACTATGAAATATAACAATAGAACTGGGGTGTAAGTGTAAGATCACTCCAACGGCCGGAGGCCGGAGGGTGATCTTACACTGACACACCAAGTCCGAGTGGGATAACTATTTTACATCCCAGCTCTTCTAAAGTATATGAAAAAAACATTTACGCTTCATAACATCTAGTTCAGAATACCATACAATAATTATAATATACTTTATATATTACTATATAGTATATACCCTTTATGAGCCCCGGATACAACGTTTAAATATGTTAAATTAACAGTGAGTTTGTATTTAGTCGTCCTCTAGTAGGGATATGAATCGTAGCTTCATATGCTAAAGGTCTTGAGTTTGATTCCCCGCATAGACACTGGAAATTTAGTGGATTTCTTCTACATAATTTTGATAGTTAGTCTTTTTTCCTCTTAAATATTTCTAAGTTTTAGTGTGTGTTCGACATTCCCACCAAAATGTAACAGAACAAAAGAAGGCATGCAGAACAAGGAAACTAAAGGTAGAGTGATCTGGTAGCTGCGATCCGACTCAGATCACCCCTGTTAGAACAAAGGACTTGGGATGTAATGTATTTATGCACGCCTGACTTTCAAATTGAACATGAGCGTTCCTGGTGAAGATAAACTCGGAACAAAGGTTCGGGAGGCATCAAATTTATGAAGTTAATTGACAGAATTTGTAACATCAATACTGAAGTCCACTTAATGGCGGTATGGATTATTCAATTGGTGGTACAGTTTTCAAACCATTGATTCTAATAATTAGTGGTTCTAAATACATTGCCCTACCAAAGTCGACATGAAATGAAGAAGAGGGATTGAATAGATAGGTTTAAAAAAAACTCATTAAGGATACTAGCTGGCTTATAATTTAATGCACCAGACACTCGTTTCTTCCACACATGGATGTAAAGTCGATATAAAACTTCTATTGTCCACACAAGACTAATACGCGGCGTTCGATTCAAATCAGTTTAAGGGTACAAAATTATTAGATTTAACATGTAACTGCTTATATAACACCTACATAAAATTAGAATAAAATCAAATATTTTCGTTTTTTATGAACAGGCAAGTCCGTAAATTAATCAATCACTCAACCAGGAAAATTTTAAATCTATCTGTTCAAATAAGGTGATAGTCCGAAGATTATTTCGTTAATTTGAAGAAAACATCCATCCAGTGAAACCAATTAAAATCTATGTATCTTTGAACAAAATATCATTTAAATAAAGAATAAAACCAAAATAACTTGCAACATAGAAATAATGTCATAAAAGTGTGATAATGATGACACATGAATCCCCTTACATACTGCATGGAGAATTATCATATCGTGAGCTACGATATCAATAAGGATTAACTTCAATGAGACATAGATCAAAACTCAAAATATCAAATGACATGTAGAGGGCAATATGCACGGTATCACAATAGAAAAGTGTCTGTATAATGATTAGATCTACATCTGTAAAACTAAGATCATTAGACATTTGCGGAAAATGTCACACACCTTCGATTAGGATTACAATTACACTAACAGGTAGCAGTTAAATCTTGGGTCATTTCAAAGTATAAATATAAACCGTCGTTTTAAAACAAATTCAAACTCATGTGATATTTTTCTATAGTTTAACAACGGTTTTTTTAAGAAAGATATGTATTAATTTGTACACATTAATTATTGAACATGTTGCTTTTCAGGTTGAACATGCTGTAAATGTACGGAATATGATAGAAAGGATAAACCTCATTTTAATGAATTTTACATGAGACATGCAAACAAAAAAAATTGCAATTGTCGTTGCAGTGGCTAGATTGGGACAATCAGACAGTGATCTGAAAGGAGCGATCAACTAAGGAGCTTGTTGACAATATTTAATACGAAAAATAAAACACAACACCGTTTTCAGGAAACATCTTTAAGTTAAGGTCAAATATCTGACTCGGTTAAAATGTAAGAAAAGGTTTACTCAAATGGTTGGAATTTTACTATCCATCTTTTCAATTAAAAATGACAACAGGGTTCTAAGTTGATTGTTTTTGTGCAATTTTGATAGAGATTTTGACAATCGTTTGAGTATAGACATTTTTTTCACGGTGTCCATAATAATATCCTATGAACACGTTGGTTGGTCTGGTATGCTCGAAATATGAACAGTAACTACTGATTCGAGACAGATACAATTTTCTTGAAATTGTACCATAGAGTGCACACATGACTGTGTCCACTTTGGGAAAACTTTTTACCGCAAAATTATTCCGTTGATAAAAACTTATAAAAAGTACAAAGATATCAGACGAAAAGAAATTATTAAAAAAAATCACACACTATTTAAGTAGGTTAGGAAGCAGTTGCGGATACAAAAGCGTAGTCGTGTAAAAGAAGGACGACACCCGACATTAATATTTTAAAAGCACTGCGCTGCGGTGGGTTTAATAATTGTATTGTGTAAATCGGCATTTTCAAGTGTACCGTTTGAAGAGTACCCTCTGAACGAAACTTTCGCTGATTTCGCTATACTTAAATAAGGTAAGACACGTATTTAGAACTATTACATCACAAGCAATACTCTGTTTCTCGGAGAAAACTTATGGTTCTCTTCTGTTTGTTGTGGTCGACAAAATATATCCTAACCGGCATCCAGTATTGACACTTTATACAAGACAACAGATTGTTCGAAAACCCTACAATATGTAGAGAAAATGAACAAAATTAAAAAGACTAATTACACAATAAAAATAATAGAGTAGAGGTTGAACACACCATCGGATAATTTAAAACACCCAGCTACTTTAGTTAAATGAACTTTTTGTCGACAACTAATTAGACAGCGATTCAAATCTGTTGTGACCATATTCCCTGCATTAGATATATATATATATTTCGACTCTTCAAAATTCAAGAGTCAATCCCAAATTGAGGTAAATTATATGGCCTTCCAAATACCGTTTCGATTCCTAACATCACTGAAGAGACATTAATTGTCGAAATCCGGATATGGTGTACAAATGTTTGCACCTCATGTTTGCGGTATACCATCTTTTCCGCAAGTTTATTGTTTTCTGTTTGGTATTAAATTAATATAATTAAGATCCATTGTGTTACATCTGTGATCCGTTTATTTGGCAATCGCCATGACAGTCAGCAGGATTTAAGAACATCCGTTGTTCGACCTGCTAGTCAAATGCGTTTTGTTAAAATATACTTTTTCACTTTTTTGGTCTTTTGGAAAATGTTGTTTGTGCTGTATTTAGACCCCTCTACAAAGAAATTTGTTTTGCATGCACACGTATAAAAATTGCGGTTTTTATCCAACGCAATCATAGGTTTGAACGTTGTTTTCAATTTAGACTTGTTTATATTTTTTCGTTTGGGCTTGTATTATATTTGCCTTCGGGTTTATATGATCCGTTCATCCTATTTTGACTCCTCAAAATTCAAGAGTCTATCCTAAAATGAGGTAAATTGTATGGCTTTCCAAATACCGTTTCGAATCCTAACATCACTGAAGAGACATTAATTGTCGAAATCCGGATATGGTGTACAAAAACCTTTGCACCTTTTGTTTGCGGTATATCATCTTTTCCGCAAGTTTATTGTTTTCTGTTTAGTATTAAATTTTTAATTAAGATCCATTTATTACATCGGTGATCCGTTTATTTGGCAATCGCCAATGGCAGTCAGCAGGGTTTAAGAACATCCGTTGTTCGACCTGTAAGTCAAATGCGTTTTGTTAAAATATACTTTTTTCACTTTTTTGGTCTTTTGGAAAATGTTGTTTGTGCTGTATTTAGACCCCTCTAACAAGAAATTTGTTTTGCATGCACACGTATAAAAATTGCGGTTTTTATCCAACGCAATCATAGGTTTGAACGTTGTTTTCAATTTAGACTTGTATATATATATATATATATAGTGTGTCGAAAAGACTATTTTACATAATAAAAAAATCATTTAGTTTTACTACGAAGCCCTGTTTTTTATTTTTTTATTTTTTGAGATGACCCCATGTTTTTCGTCAACTGTAATCGTAAGTCTAAGTGTAATCCTAGGTATTGATCTAGTTTCCGCAAATTTCTAGTAATAACATATTGAATATACACAAAATAACTAGAACAATGAACAATTATATACAACACAAGATACTGACGACGTGGCATATATTTGTTGTTAATACAGATATGTTCCTAACGAATGTCATCTTTAAAATTCATTATGTATGCTCGTAACAATGTTTTGCTATCCATTGAGATATTTAAACATTGGAATACCAGACACAAGAATGCTGGAGAAACTGTCAAAATATTTTATATTTTCATATTTAACCCCATCGCAACAACAAACATACAAAAACAAATCATTAAGTAAGTTAATAAATAGTAAATAAACATAGTTACAAATAAATAAAATAAAATATATTTTTCAGGTACAGGTAGCTTACGTTACTGCAAAATCATTGATATTACAGTTGAATCAACCCCAAGGAACAACGTATTTTTTTCTGTTCATTTTCTAGTTAATTTCATTTTAAATTCAGCTAAACGATATTTGAATGAACAGAGGCAGATTTTTAAGGAAAATGAAATAAAAAAAAACTGTTTTATTAAATCATTATGCATCGATTTAAATTAAAAAAAAAAAAAAAAAAAATTTAGATACCTGATATAACTTTAATCAAAAAAGACTCTGAAGGCTACATTATTGATTTGTTTTGTATAAACCGGATTTGTGTAAATGATATCGTATAAACATTTTAAATAGCAAGGACCAAAATATTCATTAATCAAATACTAGTCAATGACAAAGGAATTTATTAAGTGCTAGATTTTTATTTGCACTTAAATACTGCATAGTTCGTTTGAAATTGTAAACTGAACAAAGCACAATAGTTATTTAAAAATGGTTCATTGATTTTGTCTGCACATTAATAACAAAATCTGCTATATAATTATATAATGCCTTATTCCCATTTGAAATTGTTTAAGCAAATTTTTACCATATGTTTTTTTCCAGAGTCGTTTAAAGAAAATTCATATATAAAGAAGTGTCCATAAATGTCAATATATCCAAGGGTTGTCATTGATTGCTGTCTGTCTTCACTAAACTACTAAATGAAGCATGTTTTTCCATCTTGATATATAAATATCATTTCTATTTAGCATGAACTAATTTATTCGTATTCTGTCCTTTAATTAAGAACAAAATGAAAATTTTATTTTGTTAAACTGAAAGCTTGTTCTAAACCTTATTTTGACTAAAAAAAAAGATTGCAACATAAATTATGTTATTATCATTATCATTGTAAATTTCCAATTTCAAAAAGATAATCTTGAGCAAAATCAAAAGCATACTTGAAATTTGCTTACCTTCTTAATATTTTACTGAATGTCAAAATGGTTTTTAATTGTAAATATATATGAAAAAGAAATCGTCATTACCACCTTAGCAACGAGGTAGTACAATAAAGTCATGACAGTATGGTGGACCATCAGTGAAAAATATGTTGACAATTATAACTAAAAGCACAACACCAACATTTTTAAAGAAGTTTACATTTTGGAACCATGTTCGTAAATAATTCTTATCTATTTGCATTAATCTCCATAAATGTCTAATGTGCGGATACATAATTTGTATTTGTTTTGCTTTTACATTTAGGCATATATGTTTTACCGTAGTATATTATAAACATTCTTTTAAATCTACAAGTTTGAGTCTTCTATTCAATTTGATATAGAGATTAATTTGAACACGAAGTTTGAAATAGTTTCACAGATTTCTAATTTGTCAGTTTGTGATCAGTTTAATTACTGTTATAACATTGATTTTTCAAAATGGCGTCGCTTAAATAGTTTTTGATTGAAAAGTAAATGACGTAAACACTATGATGTTTAAAACGGATAATTGTAAAGATTATATTGATAGAAAGTAAAAAAAAATAATATTAAATTATTAAATAATTACTCAATACTATATCATCACTGTTCAGTCATTTTAGTGACAATACATGTACTAACAATCAAACGAGCACTGTATACTTAATTTTCGTAGAATCTTAAAATATTTACACAATTGGATAGAATACGGTTGTCTGGAATCATTTTCAAATGTTGTTTTGTAGTTAATCGAATTATAAAAAAAGAAAAGGAAACTAATGTAAAAATTACAACTGTGAAAGAAATTGTTACGGCAACTTTCAGTTGATAACTGTTTTGAAATTTTAAATTCTCTTCTCTCTGTTAGATTTTAATCCGTTATTAAATGTTATAACACATGCAAGTCCATACTAAATATCAACTGTTCATCATACATCTCTTTCCGAGTTTAAATGTAGAGGAACACAAATTTCAAATAAGTATACTGAAAAGCAGAGAAATATACTAAGGGGAAATCAAAACAATAAAGCATATATAAACAAACATGACCAAAATGAAAAATGGCAAAATACAAATAATAACAAGATACAAAATACTCAGTAGAAAACAGGGAAATTAGAAACAAGAAACCAAACAAAAAGCAAGAGTTAAATCAGATGCATCTTAACAATTAGCAGTTCCTTCAATCATGTACAGGCTAGTATGAATCCGGAAGACAATGACCTTTATTTTGTCTAAGGATAATCACAAACTACAATATTGACAAGAATATTGTAAAACGAATATATGAAGTTAGAAAGTCATATTTAGCCAAAAAAGTACAGGTTGAGATGAATAAAAGGATATTTACAGTAAACGTCAGCGCATCAACAAATCGAATACATAGATAAACATCGTTTTGTCTGAGTTGTTTGGGGAGGGGATTTTATATCCCAATTAACAGTTATAGTCAAATGGTAGTTTCTAAAACGATACTTTTAGCAAACATCAGTTATTATTTTAATGTATTGCTGTAACTCACCAGAAGCTAGTTTCATTGTTGTAGAATAAAACAATGATTTTTAGTTTTCTAGCACATCATGCGTTTAACCAAATGCCCATTTTGATATAGCTTTTTTCTCAAATCCCGACCATTTTTTTTTATTTATATGTATCAACAAGTTGTAATAAACTTAAATCAATAAACGAATAACGAATGGATATGAATTATACTCAGGATCTGGCTGAAAAAGATATTAAATCTTATGAAATATTGATTATCATGCCGCATCTTAAGCGTTCTTGATTGTTAATATTCCTTCTATTTATCTAGGACTTTGTTAAACATTAACTGAAAAAAAATTTCTATAAAAAGACACCACACCAATTCAATCCAAATGTACACTACAGTTATGTAATATCTCAACTGACAATTTGAAAAAAAAAAAAACTTTCAAGTTGTCCGATGAGTTACCAAAAAAAAAAAATTAAAACCTTTTTGTGACATGGACACACTAGTTTTTGGATACAAAATAGTTGAAAAGTAGTAGTATGGTCTTCTTAACACTGTTTTTTTTTTAAATAAAGCACATGCTTTCATGCATAAAATTTGTTATGTCATGAATCATATCATACATTTTTGTTATAATTTTTACCCAATTATCATACCAGTTACTAACTTTAACCTTTTAAATAACAGCAACCTTTATACGTGCCTTGTCATTGAAGCATAGAAGAAATATAAAGTTTATGATCCTCATAATTGGACGAAAGAAATTGAAAACTAAATGACACGACAAGGTCATCAACATATGAAGGAAGTTGTAAATTTAGATCAAACTGCGTCGGAATATTAATACAAATTGTAAAATCACAATAATTGTAAGCCTTTAATTCAAAACTTATAATTTAAATATAATAGAACATATGTTTCAAACAAACTCTTCAACTTGATACTTTTCTAAATAGTAATTGACAAAAGAACAAAAGAGATATAAGGTTAAAGCTTCATGCCTAGTTAATTGATAATTTTCTGTAAAGTAAAAAGAACCAAAGGGGAGGGACAAGATGTTTCTTCTTCTTCGACAGAACACCTGATTATAAAAGAAAATCAAATATGACGAAAAAACTCAAATAGCAAAAATACTGAGCTCCAAGGAAAATTCAAAAACGGAAAGTCCTTTATCAAATGGCAAAATCAAAAGCTCAAACACATCAAACGAATGGAAAACAACTGTCATGTTCCTGATTTGGTATAGGCATTTTCTTCTATTATATTAACAAAAATGTGTGAGCAAAACAAACAGACATAATAGGTAAGATTGTCAAAAATTGAGTACAGCAGTCAACATTGTGTTACAATCTTAATCACTTTAAAAACAAATAACAGTTTCAACAAGGAAAAACAAAATGGCATATAGACACTCAATAGACAAAGTACAAAAGCAAAAATGAAAGACGAGAATACAAAAACATTACCATAGCACAATAACACAATGGCGGAAGTATAAATACCGAGCCACGCTAAAAGTGTATTACACAAAATGGACAAAACAGTAAAGGTTAAAAATATGCAAAGACAAATGAAAACAATGTAACGCGTAATTAAGATGATTAACAGCGTCAGTACCTAAAAACAATACTTCAAGACCATCATGTATTTTTTGTGAAGTTGATACGGAATATTTATTAACATGGTCTTGGTATCTTCCGATGAACTCTTTTAGAAAAAGGACAAGACGTTCTTTGACATAACCCTGGTTCGTCAACTTTCTGCTCAGACATTGGTGATGTTTTATGAGGTCTGAGTAGAGCTACAAGGTCTTGAATACCGAATGAGTTGGGAAATGTATATCTCATGTGCAGGTAAAGTTGGTATATTGCTGCTAAGGTAGGGGAAATTTATAATTTGAAAATTAAAATCGTCTCGTTTGTCATTGATTCTGGTACTGAGATGACCGCTTATGTCAAATTCGAATTGTCTGAGTTGTTTGGGGAGGGGATTTTATATCCCAATCAACAGTTATAGTCAAATGGTAGTTTCTAAAACGATACTTTTTAGCAAACATCAGTTATTATTTTAATGTATTGCTGTAACTCACCAGAAGCTAGTTTCATTGTTGTAGAATAAAACAATGATTTTTAGTTTTCTAGCACATCATGCGTTTAACAAAATGCCCATTTTGACATAGCTTTTTTCTCAATTCCCGACCATTTTTTTTTATTTATATGTATCAACAAGTTGTAATAAACTTAAATCAATAAACGAATAACGTATGGATATGAATTATACTCAGGATCTGGCTGAAAAAGATATTAAATCTTATGAAATATTGATTATCATGCCGCATCTTAAGCGTTCTTGATTGTTAATATTCCTTCTATTTATCTAGGACTTTGTTAAACATTAACTGAAAACAAATTTCTATAAAAAGACACCACACCAATTCAATCCAAATGTACACTACAGTTGTGTAATATCTCAACTGACAATTTGAAAAAAAAAAAACTTTCAAGTTGTCCGATGAGTTACCAAAAAAAAAAAAATTAAAACCTTTTTGTGACATGGACACACTAGTTTTTGGATACAAAATAGTTGAAAAGTAGTAGTATGGTCTTCTTAACACTGTTTTTTTTTTTAAATAAAGCACATGCTTTCATGCATAAAATTTGTTATGTCATGAATCATATCATACATTTTTGTTATAATTTTTACCCTATTATCATACCAGTTACTACCTTTAACCTTTTAAATAACAGCAACCTTTATACGTGCCTTGTCATTGAAGCATAGAAGAAATATAAAGTTTATGATCCTCATAATTGGACGAAAGAAATTGAAAACTAAATGATACGACAAGGTCATCAACATATGAAGGAAGTTGTAAATTTAGACCAAACTGCGTCGGAATATTAATACAAATTGTAAAATCACAATAATTGTAAGCCTTTAATTCAAAACTTATAATTTAAATATAATAGAACATATGTTTCAAACAAACTCTTCAACTTGATACTTTTCTAAATAGTAATTGACAAAAGAACAAAAGAGATATAAGGTTAAAGCTTCATGCCTAGTTAATTGATAATTTTCTGCAAAGTAAAAAGAACCAAAGGGGAAGGACAAGATGTTTCTTCTTCTTCGACAGAACACCTGATTATAAAAGAAAATCAAATATGACAAAAAAACTCAAATAGCAAAAATACTGAGCTCCAAGGAAAATTCAAAAACGGAAAGTCCTTTATCAAATGGCAAAATCAAAAGCTCAAACACATCAAACGAATGGAAAACAACTGTCATGTTCCTGACTTGGTATAGGCATTTTCTTCTATTATATTAACAAAAATGTGTGAGCAAAACAAATAGACATAATAGGTAAGATTGTCAAAAATTGAGTACAGCAGTCAACATTGTGTTACAATCTTAATCACTTTAAAAACAAATAACAGTTTCAACAAGGAAAAACAAAATGGCATATAGACACTCAATAGACAAAGTACAAAAGCAAAAATGAAAGACGAGAATACAAAAACATTACCATAGCACAATAACACAATGGCGGGATGTATAAATACCGAGCCACGCTAAAAGTGTATTACACAAAATGGACAAAACAGTAAAGGTTAAAAATATGCAAAGACAAATGAAAACAATGTAACGCGTAATTAAGATGATTAACAGCGTCAGTACCTAAAAACAATACTTCAAGACCATCATGTATTTTTTGTGAAGTTGATACGGAATATTTATTAACATGGTCTTGGTATCTTCCGATGAACTCTTTCAGAAAAAGGACAAGACGTTCTTTGACATAACCCTGGTTCGTCAACTTTCTGCTCAGACATTGGTGATGTTTTATGAGGTCTGAGTAGAGCTACAAGGTCTTGAATACCGAATGAGTTGGGAAATGTATATCTCATGTGCAGGTGAAGTTGGTATATTGCTGCTAAGGTAGGGGAAATTTATAATTTGAAAATTAAAATCGTCTCGTTTGTCATTGATTCTGGTACTGAGATGACCGCTTATGTCAAATTCGAATTGTCTGAGTTGTTTGGGGAGGGGATTTTATATCCCAATCAACAGTTATAGTCAAATGGTAGTTTCTAAAACGATACTTTTTAGCAAACATCAGTTATTATTTTAATGTATTGCTGTAACTCACCAGAAGCTAGTTTCATTGTTGTAGAATAAAACAATGATTTTTAGTTTTCTAGCACATCATGCGTTTAACCAAATGCCCATTTTGACATAGCTTTTTTCTCAATTCCCGACCATTTTTTTTTTATTTATATGTATCAACAAGTTGTAATAAACTTAAATCAATAAACGAATAACGTATGGATATGAATTATACTCAGGATCTGGCTGAAAAAGATATTAAATCTTATGAAATATTGATTATCATGCCGCATCTTAAGCGTTCTTGATTGTTAATATTCCTTCTATTTATCTAGGACTTTGTTAAACATTAACTGAAAACAAATTTCTATAAAAAGACACCACACCAATTCAATCCAAATGTACACTACAGTTGTGTAATATCTCAACTGACAATTTGAAAAAAAAAAAACTTTCAAGTTGTCCGATGAGTTACCAAAAAAAAAAAAATTAAAACCTTTTTGTGACATGGACACACTAGTTTTTGGATACAAAATAGTTGAAAAGTAGTAGTATGGTCTTCTTAACACTGTTTTTTTTTTTTAAATAAAGCACATGCTTTCATGCATAAAATTTGTTATGTCATGAATCATATCATACATTTTTGTTATAATTTTTACCCTATTATCATACCAGTTACTACCTTTAACCTTTTAAATAACAGCAACCTTTATACGTGCCTTGTCATTGAAGCATAGAAGAAATATAAAGTTTATGATCCTCATAATTGGACGAAAGAAATTGAAAACTAAATGATACGACAAGGTCATCAACATATGAAGGAAGTTGTAAATTTAGACCAAACTGCGTCGGAATATTAATACAAATTGTAAAATCACAATAATTGTAAGCCTTTAATTCAAAACTTATAATTTAAATATAATAGAACATATGTTTCAAACAAACTCTTCAACTTGATACTTTTCTAAATAGTAATTGACAAAAGAACAAAAGAGATATAAGGTTAAAGCTTCATGCCTAGTTAATTGATAATTTTCTGCAAAGTAAAAAGAACCAAAGGGGAAGGACAAGATGTTTCTTCTTCTTCGACAGAACACCTGATTATAAAAGAAAATCAAATATGACAAAAAAACTCAAATAGCAAAAATACTGAGCTCCAAGGAAAATTCAAAAACGGAAAGTCCTTTATCAAATGGCAAAATCAAAAGCTCAAACACATCAAACGAATGGAAAACAACTGTCATGTTCCTGACTTGGTATAGGCATTTTCTTCTATTATATTAACAAAAATGTGTGAGCAAAACAAATAGACATAATAGGTAAGATTGTCAAAAATTGAGTACAGCAGTCAACATTGTGTTACAATCTTAATCACTTTAAAAACAAATAACAGTTTCAACAAGGAAAAACAAAATGGCATATAGACACTCAATAGACAAAGTACAAAAGCAAAAATGAAAGACGAGAATACAAAAACATTACCATAGCACAATAACACAATGGCGGGATGTATAAATACCGAGCCACGCTAAAAGTGTATTACACAAAATGGACAAAACAGTAAAGGTTAAAAATATGCAAAGACAAATGAAAACAATGTAACGCGTAATTAAGATGATTAACAGCGTCAGTACCTAAAAACAATACTTCAAGACCATCATGTATTTTTTGTGAAGTTGATACGGAATATTTATTAACATGGTCTTGGTATCTTCCGATGAACTCTTTTAGAAAAAGGACAAGACGTTCTTTGACATAACCCTGGTTCGTCAACTTTCTGCTCAGACATTGGTGATGTTTTATGAGGTCTGAGTAGCAGCTACAAGGTCTTGAATACCGAATGAGTTGGGAAATGTATATCTCATGTGCAGGTGAAGTTGGTATGTTGCTGCTAAGGTAGGGGAAATTTATAATTTGAAAATTAAAATCGTCTCGTTTGTCATAGATTCTGGTACTGAGATGACCGCTTATGTCAAATTCGAAGTATAAGTCTAAAAATGAGGCAGAGGAAGCCGTGTCTGGTGTATCTTTAATTTCTTGTTCTGGAGGATATAATAATGGAACCCAATCAGAAAAGAACATCATGAGCCAATGCTACGTGTTGAAGGCCGTACCATGACCTATAATGGTTTACTTTTATAAATTGTTACTTGGATGGAGAGTTGTCTCATTGGCACTCATACCACATCTTCCTATATCTAATCATCAATATATCTGAATGTGAAATCAAATGGTCTGACGTCTTTGATCTTCATCTTTTTGACAAGTGTCTGAAGTAACTCCGACTGAGAATAATGTTCGAGAGGCGATCTCTTCCTTAAAGTAAAAAATATCATGCAATAGTAATGTCGTTCATATAAGATTGCTTGCTCCCACCAGACTTTAAGTTGTAAAAAATCTATCGAGGATTGTATATCACCATATTTCTGTCATGTATCACTTCTGAAAATGAAATAACTCTTAATGATCTTCCAAAGTATATATAATCTTTACAATGGTTCGTATAACAGTGGAATGTAGATACTTATTTATCAAATAAGGGGACTTACTCATAATAACACATTTTAAAATTTGTGTATCCGATGCGCTATTCTAGATTTGCCTGCATCGGGAATGTTGAAACCTAAACATTTGAAAGCCAGGGATGTATATAATACGTAGAAATGCTAGGAACTACATAACAAAAAAACATAAAAAGAATAGCCAAATTCATCCACAGCCAATTTTGCCTGACGGAGTTGGATTCTTTGTTTCTTATTAATTTATGGAATTCTTTTTAGTAAACAAGTAAATCATGTCAGTACCGAAGCACTGACTATTGTGCTGAAGATACCCTCTGGTACTACATGTTACAGTCCAATAGCAGTGGTATCGACCCAGTTTAATTTAAGCACTATAGGGTTTGCGCTTTTCTATGATAGAGAACCATTAAATAATGTGTTCTTAATATGCCATTTAATTCTTAAAATTACGTATATGCTTATTTGTAACAACAATTATTAAGACATTCAAAAAAAAAAACTATTATAAGGTGACTCAATTGTTGCTCGAACGTTCTTTGCTGGGTAAGATGTATGCACCGGTAAAGATTCAATAGCATGCAACACAAAACGTCATTCAATCATGAAAGTAAGTCAAGTTATGTTGGCGAGCTTTTCTGTCCAAGATGTACCCACTGATGAAGTTGCATCAGTACGTGATGCATAGCACCGAAGATTTCAACCCAAACTGAAAACATAACCAATCACTCAAGCGTGAAATGTAAGTTGTACATAAGAAGTTAATGACAAGAACATTACAAATCAACAGTAATTTCTTTTTAATGAGTTTCTATATATACATAGCTATTTAATACTCACTGTAAACGTAATTATCAATTATGATATTGTACTTTCAAATGCATGTAACATATAATGGAAGATCATATATAATACATTTTAAATTATATTGTTTTGATGCGCCTACTAAAAGAAAGTATTTACATAAGATGCGAATTATCTTAAAAAAAGAGTTTACATAATCAAAACACATGAGTTCAATGCAATGCTGAATAACAATTCCAGATTCGGGAAAAGCTGAAGAAATAAATGTAGAAGAATACTATATAGTTTAAAAAACTAATACTCGGGCACATTTATAAGAAATTGTCTATGTGGTGGTATTATAAACATAGCATGCATCAATGCTGATGTAAAATGGACATTTAGATGCACCACTAAAATTGTAGTCCTAAACTTCCACTTTACTGTATATCTTATCTAATTCATCTGCAAACATTAATGATGGATCAAGTTTCTTCATATCATCCTAAAATTAGACAGATTCATAAACATCAAAAACATAAAGAAATTAATAACGAACAATTTTTCACCAATGTTAACCTTTTTCTCTAAATTAGATTAATTCAAATGTCTTGTACCGGTCATTAAACGTACGCAGCACAACAAGTAAAACTATCAAAATGACAATGCAGTTATCATATTTGAATTGACACAAATTAAGTACCCAATTTGATTTGTCATCCACATGCCAAGTGTCGACATACTATTTTAAGGTATTTTCAGAATACGAGCTTATAAAAAAAAACTATCAAACGAAATGCAATGGTTTCTTTTGAATGTCAAGATGTTCATATCACTTATTTAGATTTCCGCACCTCGAAATAGTTGTATTTAATTACTTGAAACAGACCTGTACGTGTATTCCATATATACAAAATTGTTTTTTAGTAATGGAGAGGGTGTTCACTTATTGGGATAGCTTCCCAAGTTGCCCTTAAACCATGTATATAATCACAATATGTAAGATGCACGCATGTCTGCAGCTAGTCTCAAATTTCAATGGAATAATGTATTCATTCCTAAACACTATAACGACAGTGATACAAATACTACATATTGGTAATACGCTCTTTGTTTGTTAAATAAAGGAGACTGTCTTGCACATGTTCGATTGCATTTACAGGTATAAAAGAGGAAATGAAATCTCACGGTTTTTTATGGCAACACTATTTCTAAAGCTAACTATTTATTTAAAATTATTATCTGTTCTCTTCTGGTTGAATTTAATCTCTTAAAAAGGTTATCATTATATCGTTGTTTTATATTAATTTTGTCAGATTTAATTTTGAACATCAATTCAAATGTGCTTTTCTACAACGTATTTTGTAAAGTATATGATGCCATTGCGCAATATCACATCTTCACCTTATAAGGTTTTTGCAATGATTCTACAGTAACTGTACATGTGCAATACAGCAACCGATATAAAAGTGTAAAATGGAAAGACTTCATATCATCAGGTTAAATACTCTTTGGTGATATAGCTCTCCAACTGTTTTGGTTCTTATACATCTTTGGCTTTTAAACATTCCGCATTGATCGTTCCTGATGAAGGTAAATCCACAAAAGCGCGTAGGATGCAAATAATAGTGTTGTTGTTTTTTCCTGTGCTAGCGTTTAGTTACAGAGAGCATACTCTTATACATCATTATTTTGTTTGGAAATTTGTGTAGTCAGTATCAATATGAACCTGTGCTCAATAATAAAAATTACGTGTATTAACTTGTTTAATACGGGTTTCAGGGTCTAGACATACCAATTATATCGTATAACGCATTAGAGTTATTGGATATATTCATGATACTACCTTCCTATTTGAAGGATAAGATACATGTAGCGGACGACCGAATGTTTATTTGTTGAGTTATAGCCAACGAAAAGTAAACACACATAATTGTTTAAACTACCTTACTTGAGATTAAACAAACATCGTTGCAGTTATAAGGTTAGTGCATCATTCTGAACTTGAAAGTGTAAAATGGTCATAATTTTAACAGTCTTAACAAGAAATATGTTCAGGTGTATTGTATAAACATGTAAACATATAATGCGTGCCAATAAAGGTACATTTCATCTTATTTCAATAGTATATAATTTTGTATTAACTAAGTTGAAATATAAAACTCGTGTGGCAAACAACAAATATTAACATAGTGTTTGCTAAAATTAAATACACATACTATGTATGATATGTAGCCTTTTATTCGCAGGTATAAATATAAGTGTGTGTCAGCAATACGCACTGATAAACAGCTTTATAATGAATAATATATACTTAAGCTCTACGTACCCTTGAAAAACCGGATTTTGAAGCCTGTCTCAGTACATTTGTGTCATGTAGGATCCACAGTATGTCTTCGTCTTCCAAATGTATCAACCGCTTCTGTAGAATTTTTTTGACATTACTTTTAATTTCACAAATGATATGCCAAAACGTTTTCTGCCAGATTTCATGAGTCTAAAATGTTTTTGTAAAAAAGAAAAACAAATATTGTTAAAGAATGTATGATGCGGCAACTGTTTTAGCAAAATTTCATTTGAAAATAAAAAAAACAATGTGGTACATCTTTAACATTCGTTCTACTGCGACAGAAACTCTGTCTGTCAGATATAACAGCACTATAATATTTGTTATCTAATTCAGGCCATAAAACTCCTCGTATGTAAGATACATTACGAAAAAGATAACTTATAGTGTTTATATCTTCAAACTAATATTTTATGTTAGAAACTTCTTATCTAAAACATAAAAAAATGTTATTTTGCCACAAGACATTTCAAACATTTAAAACGATTTCGGTGTACACTAAGCATTTATTGGCAACACTATTATCTTTCCATCTCATGTGAGAGATATTTTACGGAGCTTATCACTTAATATATTGTCAAACTAATTATCGTTGTATATAATTATTACAAATATCAAAGATAAGTAGTTATAAAATTGTGTATTGCTTGTGATCATGATCTACATATTAAACGGAGGGTTCAGTTTGAGAAACCAAAAATCAGTACAGAACATTTCAGATGATGTATTGTAGGAAATGTAAAAAGCAATATTTCATGTAACATGCTGAATTATTTGTTTTCGGAATAGTTGGTCCTCAATGCACATCGGTTTTGTACTTTATTTGGCCTTTCAACGTTTTTTATTCGAGCGTCACTGATGAGTCTATTATAGTCGAAACGCGCGTTTGACGTACATAATTTTAAGCCTTGTATCTATGATGAGTGTATTTTCATTCTATATTTATGGTTATATCAATACCCGGATCTGGCTATACTGTTTGTACTTTTTGGTCTATAAGCTCTTGTTTTTCAATAACCTTTGGATTTTCATATATTTAGGCCTTGAGAATCACTAAATAGACAACTATTGTCACAATGCGCATTGGGCGAGATAAATCGGTACCGTAAATGTTATCATGGAAAATATTTTCCTGTAAACACTAATTTTGATAAAAAAAAAAAAGACAAATCCTTAATGGAACCATTTATCATATCAATAAATAAATGGAGGATGTGTCCATGAGAGATGACGCTCCCGCTTTCATATAACATTATAAAGGGACATAACTCTAGAACGGTAAAAGTGAATTAGAACTTAATTTGTGTTTTGTAGTAATAAGCATTGTGTATAAGTATCATAACATTTGGTTGAAGCAAACTAAAGGTAGAGAACGGAATTCAATTTCGGTACGTACGGATTAACAGACGTACGGATGGACAAGTATAACACTTAATACCCCCTCCGGTGACGGCGGAGGCATAAAAATACAACGAAATACATTACAGGTCTAATATTCATATTTATAAGGGTAAGGTGTTTAAGAGTCCAAATGCTTTAACAAATAGGCTCATCAAAGAAGCCAGGCTTACAATTCGAACAATGAAACATTTCGATGAGACCACTAAGCTTTGGGTTGAAACACCTTGTGGTTTGGAATTATCTAATCGTTTCACTTTCACAGAAATTGACCGTGTCAATAATAGTTAATATCATGACAGGAGCTTAGTAAATACAGCTCTTTAACAAACCACGCCTCTTTTGGGTAGATATTTAATATTCATAGATATTTTGTTCTGTTAACCTACTGGTTCCCAGCTATGACCTCTATGCTTCATCTCATAAAGACACAAATTTGAAATGTTACCAGTATAAATACACATGGATATCGGCCAAATTGAACTTTGAGGAAGACTCAAAATAAATTGAGGGGTAGTTCAGAATTTTATTATAAGTTTAAACTCTAAGAATTTCCAGACATATAAATGTTAAAAATATGCCGCACAGCCCTATGTTATGACCTTTGAAAACAATTAGTATGGCATATAAACTTTCCATTCTAGGATATATTTTTTTACGAAACTTCATAGCAAAAGAGGCACAGTTTTAGCCGTAAAAGGAGTTCCCGTGGGAAATTGCATTGTCTATATTTACAAAAGTGCAACCTATTGTTTTGTAACGCAAAGCGCGGTTTTCATCTACTCATCAGTGAGGCTCGAATCACAGTAGTTGAAATCACCTACGAAGATGACGCACACACAAGACAGAAATTTCAAAAAAATGTTCCAAGTAAAAATAAGGTAAAAAATAGATACAAAAAATTATATATCCTTAGATATCAAAAGTATTTAAAACAAAATGCATATTCTTGCCGAGATCTTATACATCTTCAAAGTAAATGGAAACAACCTTAAATAGTTGTTTTTATGTATTTACGATTGACATTGAAATCTTCTTAGGATTGATTAAGTAGTTAAGTAATGGTAGAATTGGTTGAGCTATTATAAAATCGTCTTAGCAATGTAAAAATGGTTTAAGTCATGATATACTAAACTAAGTCTTTAAATGATATAATTATCAGAGCAGTTTTAAAATCGTCTTGGTAATGACAGGATCGTTTTAGCGATGCTATACTCGCCGTAGAAATGATAGAATCGTTCTGACGATGTCAAATCGTCTTAATTAACATATAATAGTCTTAACATCGATAGATTTCTCTGGGTAGTTATGGACACGTTATAGTCATGATAGCATTTTTCTAATGATAAAATTGTCTTAGATATGAGATAATCGCCTTACCAATGATATAATCGTTTAAGTAATGATAACAGTGTCTTATCAACTTTATAACTGTTTGAGCAATAATGCAATTGTATGTTCAATCTTATAATCGTCTCAGTTAGAACATAATCGTCGCAATAATGACAGAGTCTTCTCAGAATGTTCACATCGTCTTAACAATGAAATTATCGTCTAAGTGATGATAAAATCGTCCTAGTAATAACAGAATTATCTTAGGAATGATAAAATCGTCAAATCAATATTTAAAACGTTATAGCAAATATAGACTCGTCTCAGTACGATATAATTTTCCTATCAATGACAAAATCGGCACAGCGATATTCAAATAGTCTTCAAATAGTCTATGTAATTGCAGAAGGGTAGTATTGCTCGAAACGTCTCTAAATAATGATAAAATCGTCTTTATAGTGATACATTGTTTTGGGAATGATAAAACCGACTTAGCAATGATGACATCGTCTTAGCAATGATGGCATCGTCTTAGCAATGATAACATCGTCTTAGCAATGATGACATCGTCTTAGTATTGATAAAAGCGTTTTTGTAGTGATATTGACGGATATCAATTTTATTCGCAATTTTACCGCCCGTAGTCGTATGAACATCATGCCTGATTGACAAAATAACCTATAAGTTTTGTATGAACTCCATGAGATAAACAATATTATTTTTTTAAATGAAAATTATGATTTATAATGTTGATGCAGAAGAAAAATTTGCTTTACACCATTTCTCTTAAATAAACGTTGAGTTGTTGGTGCTATTGATTGATTATCATATTTAATGTACAGTTATACAGATATACAATTAAATAAATGACTTGAACAATTAACTTGATAAATTTGAAGAGCTGTCCAAAACTGTTCTTGGAATGAATCTGTTCTAGTGTGCAACTGTTCAGAAGTTTTTGTTTTGAATGTACAATGTTATATTTGTTTCTAGCGAAAGTGTATAATAATTTCTAAATTGAGATTTCACTGACCTGTGGTACTTCAAGAGTTAGTGTATTGCCCATGTCCTTCATTTCATCACATTCTATAGGCAAATACATTTCCTCTTTTTCATGGTATCCTTTTTCACATACCACATCAGAATGGAAGTACAGATCACAAATCGTTCTTTTTTTTCTAAGCGATAGGACCACTTTCAGAACTTTTTCAAAAGATTCTGCAAACAAACAAAGTTTCTTAAAATATACTCATTAATTTCAATTTATATAGCATTTTCGCCTAGTTTGTCTTCAATCCTTTGATGTATTTTCGATAGTGAAAATAAACTGAAGTAGTGTGTTAAATCGATAGACAAAAGCCATGGGTTCACGATTCGAAATCAAGTACCTCTAAACTCCTGACATATGTTGTGATTTTGTTTTATATATAAACGTTTTAAAATCAACGTTTTATACCACCGTTCTCAATCATGTTAAACAGTCTGTTCTTACAATAAACAAACCGTAACGCCGCAAAATATCTTGCTGCATGATTATAATCTAAACATCAATTTTCTTTGTTATGGGTTGGGTTTGTTTTCCCACAGTTGTAGCTTACTATATGTTTTAAAATGATAGATACATAGTCTTGACAAAGGACAACATGATCATAATAAATTCGTTTTCATATAAAAAAATGTTTTAGAAGGAATACAATTTGAGGCATATGCTAATTGGGTTTTGTTAATCCTAAGTTCATGTAAAGCAGATTTAAATGCTTCATTTTATAGTTTTATTTGTATATACTGCGAAAACTACAGACATTTTATTTGATGCACAGATATGCATCATACAAACAATGTGTGTATGTTAAATGTATCAAAAAGAAGCATTCATTTTCATATCTTCATTAAAACTAGTTTTCGTTTGCTTAATGAAATAGTCCTGCGCAAAGAAGGGAGTCACGAAGAGCACCGCTGCAATACATGCGTTCTGTTGGGACATTAAAGAATACAATATTTCTATTTTATTTCATATACATTATAAATTTTGACTTGGATGGAGAGTTGTCTCATTGGCACTCATACCACATCTTCTTATATCTATATACAAAAAATTATATAAATATATGTTCAGGACGAGAACAAGTTAGTGTTATATGAATATGATCCCTGCTTTGAACTAGACCGAAACGCAGAACCGGATTTATTAACGTATTAGTTCACAAGGTAACAGTCCATTGGAAGGTATGCCACTCTAACCAGACACATTATTCTGACTCCGAGTCGAACAGCCTTTGCATGTACTCCTTAATGCCGCTTGCTTAGCGGAGAAGCAGCAAATACCAATATTAAAGTCTTTGTTTTCATCCTGCAGGGGTTCGAACCCACGACCTCCCCAATTCGAGGGGGAGCACACTACCACGAGACCACCAAGGCGTTTAGTTAGTATATATATATTAGTTTGCTATTTACCTTTTTGATGGCGACAACATATGCGTAGTTGATCTGCGTTTAAACTTCTGTGTTTAGGCTCTTCTTCCTGGTGTTGACCAACGCACATGTTGCAAAACACAAGGTTACATTCAAAACAGATATATTTTGCCTTGGTACATTCAAGCCTTTTCGTGCTGCATTTCGCTGGTAAATTACATATGGTGTCTTCCATGATTTTAGCTATAAAAAATCAGAATGATTGGTAGAGGATCTAACACGAATAGTTCCTGTTTAGTGCGGTTAAATTCGGCGAATGTGTAAAAAGTAAAATCACAAAAAAACTGAACTCCGAGGAAAATTCAAAAAGGAAAGTCCCCAATCAAATGGCAAAATCAAAAGTTCAAACACATCAAACGAATGGATAACAACTGTCATATTCCTGACTTGGTACATGCATTTTCTTATGTAGAAAATGGTGGATTGAACCTGGTTTATAGCTAGTTAACCCCTCACTTGTATGACAGTCGCATCAAATTCCATTATATTGACAATGATGCGTGAACAAAACAAACAGACACAATAGGTAAAAATGTCAAAAATAGGGTTACAGCAGTCAACATTGTGTTATCATCTTAATCACTATAAAAACAAACAAATGTAACGAAGAAGCACAAAAAGGCATACATCAAATATAACAATCCTCATTTAGCTTATATTATACGATTTTATTTATCTAATATGTAAAATCCACCCATAAAGGATGGAAGGTTTTAAGTACTGGCGTAAAATCGCGCGTTTGAAATTCGCACAGGTAGAATAATAAAAATAATTTTGTCGTTCAAAGTATGAAGAGATACATAAATACAGAGTCACGTAAGATGGATATCACAAAAAACTGACTTAACAGTAAAAGTAATATTAATAAATAAAATAATTGTGTGGTTCAAAATATGACGGGATACATTAGTACAGAGTCACGTCAAATGTATATCACAAAAAACAGACTTAACAGTGAAAGTAATATTAATAAATAAAATGTTTTTGTCGTTCAAAGTAACGAATAGTTAGAAAAACAAAGGAGAAGATGAAGGGGATATTTTCTAGTTGGTTTTGATAAAACTGTTTGCCACCAATGATCCATCAATGCTTCAATGGTTACCACCCTAAATTATAACAAAGGATACCACATATACAGTGTTTTCTGCCTAATGTATTGACTTTAATCTGGAAATTGACAATATGGGTCGGATAAGAACAGAAGTTTGCAAGGAATAAGATGATTTTGCAGCTTTCCAATTGTGAACTTTCTAAGTACCAGCATTCTTACAGTACCTGCATTCGTTGGATTCATATTCATGGGTACCAATTTTCTTGGATTAAGGAAAAAAATGTATTTTTTTGGTCATTTGATTTCGCATTTTTCTAAAGTCTGCAAACAAGCCTTTGGATGTTCCTCGTTTAACATTTAAATTCTAGGTTCACCTGTACCCACGAGATCTTGCGAGGGTTGTTAAACGTCTGAACGTGCGGCATTCTCCCTTCGCGGACATCGGATTAAACGTCCCCATTCCTACGTCCCTTTCAAACGACCGAACAATTTCAGCATGAGTTCAACTGTAGAATAGGTATACTAGGTAGTACTATTTCTATTCTACGGACCACTCTCGCGATGTTAGGTGTATTGGTTTTCCTGTACATTTATTAAGTAGGTTAAAAATCTATGGCAATATCCACGACAGATTACAGTCATTTCCTTTTAACTGCAGCAGATATATATATATATATATATATTTAGATATATATAATTATAATGTCTTCTCTTCAAAATTCCGATTATGTTTCAGGATTATTCATACGACCCTTGTATATTTAGGCAATATTTAATTCCTTTGTAAACAGTCCTTTATCAAAAACCCTTTATTAATTTAATGTTATAATATCAACCACTACATTGTGTTGCCATAGTTATATTTATATTTATGTTAAAGTGAAATTGAAAATCACGAAATTTGAAAATTCTCTGAAAAAAAATTGTGATTTTGTTAAATCCTTACTATTTCAGGGATTTTCGTTAAGTCCTTGAAATTGTTAGAGTTTTATAAAATCAATGCAAATGTTGCTAATGATTTTGTAAAATCTCTAATTTCAAGTTTAAACTTAAAATTGCAATGTTATTTTCTTAGTATAGATAGACCATTAATTTTGTACACATACATATTGACAAGACTTTTTTTGCTCTGTGTTGAATGCCTCACTGTGACTTTGAGATGAAGAACAGTAACACAAGCGCTGTTCCTTTGCTTTATTTTGTTGTACATATGCAGATGATGGGGCATAGGTGGATACCCTTTATCCTTTTTTTTATCATACTGGTTTTACTATTTATAAGTGACTATGAATGAAAGGCATATATACAAATGTAAAGACTACAACTTATTTATTTTTGCATAATCAGTTTGGTGACATTTGCATTGCTGTTACATAACTGCTCTGCTTTTCATTTCAACAGACTGGTGGAAATATAGAATATTATTTATCGCATTATGATAGCATGGATTTATATTAAAGCAAAGCAACTGAAGACTGAAGACTGAATAAAATGTCAATGAGACCTACTGAAGCCTGATGGTTACCTGTCAATTGAAAAGCAGGTTCAATACGATATATTTGTTGTTCCATAATATCTGTTGTCTTTACTTTTTTGTGGATAGAAATCACTTTTAATATGCAGCACATTTATAAGACAATTTAATATTTAGATTTCATTTTAATGATGAAAATACAGCATGATAGTACCTGACTATAGTTTCTAGAGTTTGAGTCAGAGTAAAGTGGACGGGTAGGATGACATGTCTTCTTTACTTTTACCATGTGACCTAGCACGTTAATATTCCGACTCAGCGTGTCGGTATAGCACAAAACCTGTTTCATATTCACATCACATTTATATATTTTCATCATGATATGCCTATAATTCTTTCCACTGGAAGGTATGACCTAAACCAATCAATTTCGTACGCCTTGCATGTGGTTTTCTCAACTGGTAAGCAATTCAATATGCTGCCTTGAAATTTCATTGAAAAATAATGCCTTAAATATAAAAAGTATTTACATACTGAAGCACTAGACATTAACTAACTTTTGTACCAGGTAGTATTACGAGCTTTTTTTGTCTTTTTGTGCGGGTCGTTAGCAATAAGTTCCACATTTTCCTCATATTTCCTAGGTTCTTATATTAGACTTTAATTTTAAGGTATTTCGGGTATTTGAAAACTGCTCATAGTGTTACTATCATAGGTATTTTTCAATGAATTATGATATGGTCAATTGCAGGGATTTTATAAAATCACTAATGAGTTCAGTGATTTTACAAAACTCCTGAAATTTACCAATTTACTGTAACATATATATGATGATTTTCTAATTGCTATGCTATCATCCATTATTTCCGAAACAACATCCGGATTTTTTTATTGGTTTATTTCTTCCATAATGGGTAACTTCAGAATGATATGGTGTTCTCTTTCTAGATATACGCTAATGAAAACATATAATCCCAAGAAAGGAGTATTCTTCTTGTGAATTTTAAGAGCAATAATTTTATTAGCAGAAGATTATTTGGGGGGTTTCGGGGTGCCTGGGCTCCCCTTACAAAGCTATAAGTATGGTTAATCCAAACGTTTTACCTAAGTCCACCCCAATTTTGTCTACTTTGGGGGTCCGCAATAACCCCCCACCCCCTTTACCCCTTTTGCAGAATCCGAGATTCGAATCTGTTGAGATGTCCGTAACTCAGCTTAATCCCAATGAGATAAGGCAAACAAAACAATCTATAAAGTTTTAGATGATGTCAAATTCAGAATTCATTTACCGGTTTCTTTCTGCTCTAAAACGTTATCTTCTAGATGATGAGACCGCAGCATTGGTATTCTTTTATGAACATTTGCGCATTTTCTGCATATCCTTATGTTACATTCCTTACAAAATATTGGTAAAGAATGTATTGCATTGCACATTGCACATGCGTTGGTACTTTCATTTCCGATGTCATCATTAGCTGAAAAAGAGAAAGAAAAATAGTCAAAGTTAACTTCTTTATTAGAAATATCCATGTTCATTAAAATTGATTAATGATGAATGTCGATCCTCTTCCATTGTCAGTATTCAGGTGCATGCTTTCTGATATGAAACTTATGTGTCCGCAAAACTGCAGTCAAAGTCTTTAAGTTTAAGTAATGATAGTAGATATCAAGTGCGACTGCTTCTTTTCATTATTATTTAAAAACAGAAAAAGAAGACACCAAGGATTTAATCGAAAAAAAAAAAAAAAAAAAAAAACACTTTTGTTTTAGTTTATATATGTCCAAAAGGATACATGTACCTCAATCTTTAACATGGATTTAAATTGCATACGATTACCAAATGATTAAGACATTATAAGTAGTCATTGTCGGTACTTTTTTATCCTATTGCTGACAGATACGAATTGTAAAAGACGTTACGTATACAGCAATTTTTTGACGTTCAGTTCGACACCAAAATGCTCAGGCTAATTGATGTCGACATCAGTAAAGTAGAATTAATGCAAAAACATAACGAAATGATTAATTATGTACAAGATCTATATAAAACGTATATACATTTATAACTATCGAAAGTGATGTATACTGCAGCCGTTAAATGATTAACAGATATAAAAATATATGGAATGTTTCTTCCGAATATATATTCGTCAATTTGAACACTCATATATTTCAAGTATCATCAAGGTGATTCTTCTTCCTCGAGTATCAAGTTATACCGGTATGCGATATGGAACGCAAGCTAAGTTTGAAATGTATATACTGTTTGTATGCAAATCCTTTTTACGCTTTTTCCTTTTTATTGTTTTAAATTATGATATTTATTTCATTGTCCTTTGTTCAATACTCGCAGTCAATGAAAAATAAAAATAAAAACATATTATTTTGTCATTTTAACGTTTGCAGTATATTAAAACTAGAAACAGATGGTTTTAATTTCAATATGATCACCAATTCTTTTATGTCAACTAAATATTGTACGTAAATCATGTTTAGCATTTTTTCCTCCTTTTAAATCGTCAATTCAATTAGAAGCATGTTGGACTTGATAAACGACATAATTTGACAACAATAACAATTCAAATAATAATTCAAATTGTAATTGATCAATAGTTAACTTTAACAGTCCATATGGGTGAATGACAGCATAATAAGAATGATCTTATATACATCGTCTAAGTAACTTGATTCAAAATGGTCAAAGACACAGTAATACGCTAAAGACCATTTTATGTTTTGTTATGTATGGATCAAACTAATATATAACATTTATTGTTTGTTGGCCAAGTATATATTTTGTTTGTCCAATTATTGAGATGAAAAAAAAGAGTGCTGTTTAGATCTCGAAAGAACTAGTAGACAATTACATATGCAACTGGATGTCAAAACCACTGTGGAATGTCATGTCTTAGATTCTATTTATTTTTCGATAATTGGGTGTTGACGGTAGACCATTGATAGTTTATGTCTACTTACGCACCATTTGGTTACATCTGCTATTAATTAAGACCTTGCAATTTTTTTTAGACATACGTATATTTTTGAAAAGAGGGACGAAAGATACCAGAGGGACAGTCACCACCGTCCCAGGTTAGGGGAGGGTTGGGAGTCCGCTTACATGTTTAACCCCGCCACATTCTGTATGTATGTGCCTGTACCAAGTCAGGAGCCTGTAATTCAGTGGTTGTCGTTTGTTTATGTGTTACATATTTGTTATTCGTTCATTTTTTGTACATACATTAGGCCGTTAGTTTTCTCGTTTTAATTGTTTTACATTGTCATTTCGGGGCCTTTTATAGCTGACTGTGCGGTATGGGCTCTGCTCATTGTTGAAGGCCGTACGGTGACCTATAGTTGGTAATTTCTGTGTCATTTGGTCTCTTGTGGAGAATTGTCTCATTGGCAATCATACAACATCTTTTTTATATAAACTGATAGATCGAAAACAAACTGACAACACCATGGCCAAAAATAAAAAGACAAACAGACAAATAATAGTACAGATGACACAACATAGAAAACTAAAGAATAAGCAACACGAACCCCACCAAAAACTGGGGTGACACATGTGCTCCGGAAGGGTAAGCAGATCCTGCTCCACAGGAAGATTATATATTGTCTTCTAGACGTCTTTTTTTTCGTGGGATTCCCTTTCCATTTACATATAACAACATCTTCATTCATTCATATATATGAACACACAATAAAAAATAATACGTCGTAGATTGTGATGCCGACTGCTTCACTTTAGAATAATTGTTATACAGCAGCATCATAGAAATAACAAGAAAACCATGGAAATTAACGTGTTTCTATCCATATGTAAATCTTTAAGGAATTGAAAGCAGAAAAATGCATTTATCAAAACATTCGTGGTTTAAGTTTAAAATATTGATTTGGTTTTTAACTAAGATAAACAATGGTAAACAACACAGTGAAAGCACGTCCCTCATTAATCACTTTTTTAACGTTAACCCAACACAAATGATAGGAAAGACAATCCTTTAACTATGAAGCTTAATTTATGTTTTTTAAACAGTTGATTGAGAATATCATTTTTTTTTTATTTAAATCAAGCAGTTTAAATCAATCTTTTATCATTTACCCCTTTATTTTTAATACAAAATTTAAAAACCTGGACCATTTATATGGAATATGAAGCCTTTTTTTTCGTGTAAGCCATGAAGTATCATAACATATCGATTGGTACGTTTTGAATGGAAGACAAACACAGAATGCTCCGACGATAAAGTTCAAAATTCTATTTTTGAGATAGTTTCAATAGTTATGCGTATAGTTTATGTGTCGTTTGGGTTTGGTCAAAAACTGCATTGATGTGAAACAGTCTATGCCTTGCATCACAAGTGATTCGCAGTAGAAATTAGAAGAATAAGCAAAACTCTCCACGTAAAAGATTCGTTAAAACAAATTTATGAGGGTCCGTAAAGTATCTGTTTAAAGCCGAATTTATTCTCCTGTCACTTATTTGTCCAAATATCCCTATCTTAGCATTCACCTAATTTGGGAGAAACTTCTTTCAGTATTTTTGCATATTTTTTTTCCTTTTGGATATGCATGAAATATGTGTAAATAGGCACTAAGCAAACATTGTTCAATACCGAAAAATTAGTCATAAATGTTTTCATTATATTCGTGAGTCTTGTGTATTTAGTTGATAGATCAAAACCAACATGGTAATATTTGATCAATTATTGATCACTGCAAGGATAACGTATAGAAAAAAGTAATGCTTTAATTGATTATTTCTTTGTCACAACATGTCATGTTTTCATTTTGTATTTTATACTGAGAAATAAGTAACCCCCGTAAGGTATAGATAGTCGAAACGCTGATTTGAATTCTTTGTACTGATAATTATTTTCATGCGGACATTTTTGCAGCATGGTATTTGTGTCTTTTTAATTTCATTCATAATCTACAAAATAGCAAAAAAAGAAAAGGCTTACTACGCTCTTCTAACAACTTTATAAAATGATGTCTCCTATCATGATCATGATAACAATCAAAACACCGAAGTACTTTACATTCTATGCAACCAAGGCTAGGTGGATCTTCCTTGCAGATAGGACAGACAGTTATTTGGTTGTCCAAATAAAAGAAATTTCCTGTAATAAAAAAATATTATGATTACATGTAATAATACAAACAAACTCATCATAGATACCAGATGTATAATTTTGTACGGCAAACTCGCGTTTCATTTACAAAAAATCTCAGTTGCGCTCGAATCAAAAAGGATAACAAAGCTAAACAGTACGGTTGAAGAGCATTGAGGACACAAAGTTCCGAAAACAAAATACAGCTAAGGTAATATATTCCTGTGGAAGAAACTCCTAAGTAAGAGTGAAAAGTTGTAATATAAGATGCAATAATTAGTTTTGAAATTGAATAATAAAATCTTTTAGTCTCAATATCGTTTTCAATTATTAGAATTATTTCTTAAAATACCAAAAGATTAAAGCCTAATATAATATTGTTCTTATTGATACATTTGTGTTAAGGTTACATTTACATCGTCCAGAATCAAGTGAATGGTAAGCCGATAAGAAGCTATGATCAAATAACATATGACCAACAATATAATCTCATAGCAGATGGAACCTGTTGGTTGCAGAGGCGGATTTAGAGAGTTTTTCAGGGGGCCGGGCCCCCCCCCCCCCCTTTTGTGGGAAAAATTTGGTTGATTATATAGGGAATATTGTAATGAGATTGTAATTACTCTGATAATTTATCATGGCCTAATTTGTTTTGAGTGGCCTTTTAATATGTTTACATAACTAGGTTGTGACATATTTATAGTTGTTTACAAAATAATATTATTGTGCAGTTAAGAAATCACTGCAACAATATTAGATACTGAATGAATGATTAGAACTTTCTTTTTGACTTCCATAGTTCCAGAATTATCATAATCTACAACATTGTACAATGCGTAATTTAAACTTCTACATTATTACGTGGAAACTTTAAATACTGACACCGAGTTAAACGTACTTAGAAATATAGATGTATTCTCAGAAGATCTTTGGAGTTGTTAGTTGGTAAAGTCAATCAATTTCTCGTTAGACTGACACTTTTATTTACGTTAGCTACATCATACTAGCTTCTGAATATTTGGAAAACTGAGTCAGACGCTTATTATATTGGACTAATATATATTCTGTTTGATTTCTGCAACAGTTAGAGAAGAATTCTGGATATAGAAAAGCTTAGGATTGGGTTTTCAGATATTTTTACAGTTAAGTTGACATTTCTATTTGTATCATTTTTATGTTTATTATGTAAAATTGTATAAATAAACCTTTTTATTGAGTTATGCGTTTTGTTGGCTAAAAGTTCAAGGTAATGTCTGGCAGTAACAATATAAAAATAAGAATATTTGGCATGATTGCCAATGAGACAACTCTACACCAGATCAAATGACAAAGAAATCAGCTACTATAGGTTATCATACAGCATTCAACTATTAGCAAGATTCATACCACATAGAAATTTAAAAAAGATAAAACAATCCAAACGAAAAATCTAACGGCCTAATTTATGGACAAAACAATAAACAAACACAAATATGACATACAACAACAAACAACGACAATCATTGCATTACATGCATTTGACTTGGGACAGGCACAGACAAAATGAACTCGTTTACTAGACATATGTTGAGCAATTAAATTAATTTATGAATGAATTTTTTAATCAAAGAGGGACGTATATACATGTACTATAGTAAAAACATAACATCACACACACACACACACATATATATATATATATATGTGTGTACATAAGTAAACGGGATTTGAAAGGTTTAATATTGTTGGAACATGGTGGAAGTTTGACAAATTTTGCTAACGATATTCTAGTACATGTATAGTATCTTCATTTGTTAACTTATTTTCAATCTCATAATAATTTATGAATGTTGTTACTTACTGCGCATTGTTACCAGCTGTATAAACTCGTGTCTCCTATTATGACCCTCAAGACAATCAGAGCATAAAGCTAATTTGCATTCTCTGCAAGCAATACACGGTGGATCGTAATTACATTGCTGACAGAGCGTTCTTGATATGTCCAACTCAAAAAAGTGACCTTTTCCTGTAATAAGAACAATCTCAATCATAATCATTATAATATAGGTGAAACATGAACTGTTCAAAGAATTAATTAATTGTACCGGCATGAAAGACAATATTTGGTATATTGACATGTGCTGCTTAAAATAAAGAAATCATAATTAATTAGGAAGTCCATCGCAAATGATTGCTATTCTTAGTTTCCTTTTACTTTTGGCCCTTTTTTGTTTTACCATAAAAATGGGTATCGTTTAATTAAAATTTGCGGTTATAAAATTTAGATATCATTTGGAACTAAGAAATATATCTTCCTCATGCATAGCTTTGATTCCTTCCTCTGTTTAGGCTTTGCTTTTGGGTCTGTAAGGGTTTATTTGATCGCCAAAGTAAGTGTTAAGTTTTGTATTTTTACATGATTTGGCTGACAGCTTTACTAAAGAGGCATTTACTTGAGTAATGCCGAATGTACTGTACCGTTAATATTCAATAAACATAAAATATAAATATAAGACATTGCGGTTTGATTACGAATTAAACAACTATCCATCAGAGACCAAAATGACGTGATTGAACGGTCATCAACACTGAACAAAACTATACAAAATATTAAAATCCCAGCTGTGATTATATGCAAAACGATTTAAACGAAAAAACCAACGGCCTTTTTTTGCAAACAGATATCGAAAAACTAATACGACAGACAGCAACTAAATAAACTCCTGACCAGGCGATAGGGACATTTAAAATTTAGCGGAGTTAATCATGTTTGTGACAGCTCATTTCCACCCTAACCTGAAAGTTTAGATCGATCTAATTTAGTGTAAAACATAATAGATAAATATGGTACCTTAGGTGTCGGAATATATGTATTGTCCATTCAAAGGTCTGTCAAATACAAATGTATGATGTCTTGTGCTTTTTTTGGTTTTGATGATTACCTTTCTATTGGTAAAACATCGAATATTCAATCAGAAAGTACTTCGGTATGTACATCAATTAACAGCTATAATATTGATATCACATTTTGAAAACCCGAATTTACATTCGATTTGATGAAGTTGTAGTTCGATAGTTTTTTTTTCTATTTTACAAATCGTAAACAACAAAATGGAAGTAATGAGAAATTCTAATGCAACTTTGACATTTTTTTAGCAGTTTATTTCTTCATTGGCTACAATTTACCATCAAATCCACGGTTAAAGAGTGGCCGTCGTCAATTGGGATTTGATGGTCGCAAATATCCGCTTTACTGGCTCCACTACGCGTTGCCAGTAAAACTGCTAAAACAGAAATGTTATTCCTTAAATGATACGTAAATAGTGTAACTAAAGATGCTAATTACATCATGAACGTTATTTTTGTTTTCAATAATAATACAAAACTATTCTTAAGAGTAATCCACCGTCATGTGTGCTATTTAAATCATGTAAAGAATAATCGTCATTCCTGTGGACCAATCAACACAATTTCTACATAGTGACATAAAGCCATGTTTTTAAATACACTTGTATTCGTAAATCAATTATCTGCGTGTTTATAAACACTGTAGAGTGTGATGAGTCTATGTTCAAAACTCTGCTCGTCAGTTTCAGGACAAACCCTTGATGAATATTTGATATTAAAAGATTAAAAAGTAAAATAAAAAAAATACCGACTCCAAGGGAAACTCAAAACAGAAAGTCCTTTTTAAAATGGCAAAATCAAAAGCTCATACACATATAACGAATGGAAAAAAACTGACATATTCCTGACTTGGTACAGGCATTTCCTTATGTAGAAAATGGTGGATTAAACCTGCTTTTATAGCTAGATAACCCTCTCACTTGTATGACAGTTGCACAGAATTCCATTATATTGACAACAATGTGTGAGCAAAACAAACAGCTATAATAGGTAAAAACGTCACAAATCGGGGTACAGTAGTCAACATTGTATTATAATCTTAATCAATATAAAAACAAATAACTGTTTCAACAAAGAAACACAAAATGGCATATAGACAAAGTACATAAGCAAAAATGAAAGACAAGAACTCAAAATTGACCATAGCACAATAACACAATGGCCGGATGTATAAATACTGATCCACGTCATAGGTATCTACTCAAAATAGGATAAACAGCAAAGGTTAAAAATATATACAAGGACAAAAAGGGGGGACTTTAACACGTACTTAAGATGACAAACAACGTCAGTACTAAGAATTTATACTTCAAGACCATCATGTATTATGTGTGAAGTTGATACGGAATATTTATCAACAATGTCTTGCATTGGTATCTTCCAAATATACATTTTATGAGTTTTATTAGAAACAGAACGAGACGTTCTTTGACATAACCTTAGCTCATCAACTTTTTGCTCAAACACTGGTGACGTTTTATAAAGTCTGAGTAGCAGCTGCAAGCTCTTGAATACCGAAACAAAACATATTAAACCCTAAATGATATACTCAAAGAATAATTTGAATTGCACAATATAACAAAATTTGCACTAATAGCTTAAATGTTGCAATGAAAGTAATTTCATACACACTTGGTTATAAGTGGTATGTGTATTACAACTATAGGGGATGTTATGAACCAAAGTTTTCAAACACTTGTGTAGTAGTTGAGGACCGGTCTTTGAAACTGCTATGATCCAACATTTGGAGTCTATAGTTAAATTTCTGGTTTTAGTAAGAGTTTTCATATAATTCAAGCTTACTGTATTATAAGTTTATTGACGATGACAGGTATGGTGTACTAAGACTGTTTATGTTCAACAGTAAAGTATTCTTAATAAAATAGTATAATTTCAAGTGTGTAAGGTGATAGCGACAACATTTCATGAAATGATATTTAACAAATATATATTTTATGAGTTTTTCGGACAGACCATAAAGGATTTTCAAATGTTTGACTATTCTTTTCTACAAAAGTAATTACCTAATAATATTAAATTACAAATACACATTCCTAGCGCTTTAGCTTTTTCAATAAATTGTGTTTAAATTCAGCTTATATAGTATTATTGTACGTGTATGTTTAAAATATGATAATTTGTTTCAAGAGAAACCAATCAAGGCACATAAAATTTGTACTTGCATTGCTGATTTGATATCTTAATAAACAATTTTCATTTAGCCTTCGATATAAGATTTGATATTACATACTCAGTAATGAAAGATAGACATTTCTTTGAAACTAAATCCATAGATTCGCTATATCGGTCCAATACATCGTATTGAAAAATTGTACGGTAAGTAATTTAATCATTTGCGAAACAATTTGTGCTTATACTATATAGATAAGGGAATGTGGTATGATTGGCAATGAGACAACTATCTACCAGGATTCAGGCAAAGTGGATGTAGAACAATTGTATGTTTATATATCCCTTAGTTGATACGATATTCCGGATCTTGCATATTCTCTCATGATTTTCTTGATAGAGCGTTGCTGCTTTATCTCCAGTTCACTTGGATATATGAGAAGCAAACACGCTCTGAAATTAAACAGTCTCTCTTTCTAGCATTACCTAATGTACAGATGAATGCAGTCCTAACCTGTACAGCAAGTTAACCCTTTCCTCCATAATGACGCCTTTTGACGCCACCCCCTTTACTCCATAATGACGCCTTTTGACGCCTATGTGTAGTACCTCAGTTGAAACACTTTGACTACGAAATGTCTGTATCAGACTTAATAAAATTTGTATCAAATATAAAAAGGATATTCATAAGAATATCTGACTTGAATTTCATTGATGAAATATTTGTTTTCGCAATGCATTAATACTTTAAACGTGCTGATTTTTTTTTAAATAGCCGTCGCCATTTTTTCGAAGTTCTTGTTGACAACCAAGTTTCAGAACACTGACATTGTCACGTTAACTACATTTATTGTTGGTTATTAATACCAACTGGTTATAAAATACCTAATAATCAATGTTTACGATACAGTTTGCGTAAACAATGATTTTCCGTAAGAACAACTTTATTTTGAAACTCCGAGTGTTCACTGCCGCTTTTCCCGCTTTGGAGTCGTACAATATTGCAACAAAAGCATTTTTTTTAACTTACGTTGAAATATCAAAAATTTAATTAACAACGGGGAGATATGCAGTCGAGTCCATATAATTCTTTTCTGACCCATTGAGTGAACAAATATAGCAACTTGCAAAATGTAAACATGTGATTGGGGAATCCCATTATACGACTTCCGGCGAGTCATTAAGTGGGCGGGAACATACAAAATTTAATGACCACAAAAAAATCATTCAACTTACAATCTTTCAATGTTTTTGCTTATAGAAAGTGACATTTAAGTTTCAATCATAATTATTTTAAGTTCTTCAATTAAATTAACGAGAATAGCGAATTATGCAACAATATTCAGCATCCGTAAGTTGTGATTCTAAGCCCCGCCCACTAATAGAGTTTACCGTTTTTACAGTGATGTTTACACAAACAATAGATGATGAATATTTTTTCCGTGATGTTTATTTCAACAATTATAAAAGCATATGGTTCCGTGAACAACTTTGTTTTAGTAGCAACAATTTGACTAACAAATTACCGAGCCTTAACTTTGCGGTTCATTTCCCATTTACAAAATATGTCAGACTAAAAGAACAGACATACGTGCATTTTTCTCTTCACGATTTTCGCCGTATTTCGGGTTTCAGAGAATCAAAATGCGAGATAGAAGTAAAAATGTAGTTACTCATTTGATTAAAAGCTACCTTAAAGCTAAGCAACCAACTGATCAGCACATCTTATTATTAATGTTTAGTAGAGGAACAAGAGGGATATTAAATAATATTAGTATCCTTAACTTTGATGAAAGAACATGTCATGTTCATACATTGTATGTTGCAAATTTTTTTCAAGTTGATTTTTGAGGAACTTGTTTTCTCGTCCACTGGCTGTTACTGACTAATATTGTGTTAGTCTGGGAGAAAAAAAAACCAATACCTATTAATAGTTATAATTAATTGGCTTTAAACTAGCTTTCAGTAACTGTGTACTCTTAGATCAAT